TTAGTTCAGCAGGGAACAACCCGCTCTTGGCAGGGAGTTGGCAGGATAATCTGAGTGGCCTTTCAGTCTCCCACTGCTATGGAGCCGCCCCAGTTCCCTGCTCCCACGGGGGACAGCTGCTCTCCTGTGTAAGCACATTGTTCCCTGTCCTGCTCTTCAGAATCCCTGCCTGGCCTCCATGGGACTAGAAATGAGGGCTGGATGCACAAAGGCATTTCAGGACATAGAGACCGGAGCAACTGCAATAGGTACTAAACTGCTGGACACAGCTGGGAATCCCAGCAGGTCCCTGCTATGTCAAGTACTCACTGCTGAAAATCTAAGTCCAGGAAATTAGGTTATAAACCCACTAAAGCAAAAACAATCCTTTTGTTCTCTCTTTATTTAGCACCTAACACAACAGGACTCTTGGAACTGCTACAAGGATACTGTTTATAGTAATAAAAGTAGGATCTAATAGGATCTAATATTCTGAGGCTACTTGGCTCCTGCAAAGCCAAGGATGAGATGGGTATTCAAAAGCAGTCATAGCAGAAAGCATCCTCAAGAAAAAAGCTCTGCAGAAAGGAGGGAAACTGATCCAGAGCCCACACCAGCAATACACACACGTTTAACTTAGAGCCACAAGTGACCACAGAAAAAGGTTACTTGTTCAGCTGGAGCACAGAATTAAAGTTACTTCTAACATGTGTTTTGGGGTCTGGGTGTGGTTTCTAGATAGCCTGAAATTTCAGTCTACTGTTTAGCCTGTCCACATTAGCCAAGATTTGATGTGTTCCAGTTCTCCTAAACTCTGCCGACAGATGCTAAAATCAGAGCTGACATTCAACCTACATGCTGCATAATCAAATAACAGGACTTTTGCTACTCAAAACTAACAAACTCTGGGAGCTTTTCTGCAGCAAAACCTTGCTGTCATTTATATTTTCGTCTGTCTTTTCCTGGCAGCCTAACTGGGAAATATGATTTTTTTTTTCTCTGAAAAGCTTTAAAAATAACATGTCATTGTGTTTTTGTATCAACAGGGGAGAGCCAAGCCATAACTTGCCATGTCCAGCACTTGTGGATTTAGTGAGAGTGTGAACAAGGTGAATCCAATTGTCTCAGTGGGGAGCTTGGGGTATACATTGATCCCAGAGTGCCAGGAGAATGCTGCTTCCAAAGACCACAGTCTTGGAGTTAGACAAGGCCAAAATGTCACACATTTGTCAATGTTTCTTATTAACCCAGGAGAAACCATGGGGGACTTTTTCAGTGCTTGACATACACTCAAGTTTAAAGCAAGATTTTAAAATCTAAACTCAAGCAAATCTCTTCAAGCACTCTGCAATGAGACTTCTCCTGTTGATTTATGTCCCCTCACACCAGCTGAAAGTAGAGGTTGCACCAATCCAAATATCTGTCTAACAGTGCCACAGGAGCTGAGCTTCTCTGCAGCATTCAGTTTCAGCTGAATTCAAACAGTGATGATTCGATAAGCTATTCACTGAAAATGAGAAAACACCACTATGAAAGCCACAATTATCACACCATCACCCTGATAAAACTCAAAAATAATGATGGATTTCAACCCTCTTATCACTTAACACCCTGAAGCTCTGGCATTTCAAATAGATATCAAAGCTTCTTTTCAAAGACAGAAACAGAACTTCTCTAATTTTGCATTTTAAACCATGAGACTTTTTAACTCCTTAAAGAAAAAAAAAACACAGATTGCAGCTTACTAACCCCTTGGATCTTACACAAATTAAAATGGGAAGAGAAGGAGCTGTTCTATGAATCATATTTTCAGTTTCTGGCAGCACTCAGCCTACAAGAGAAGGGTTACACATTGAAATTCTCACGTTCTCACTGTCAGTTTCTTGGGATTATTATATCTGAGATATACCATCTTAAAATCCGTAAGTTTCTCTTCTTTCATACCTCTATCTTCCACAACAAATGAGTAAGAAAACCAAAGCACTTGTGTAAGAGCATTGTATAGGTGCTTCCTAATTTTGAGGTTGATTTTAGCAGTGATTGTATCTCACCCATGAAAGCGTTGTTTTTATAGATGACATATGCTCTGTTGTGGGGAAACACAGGATCCCACTGAAAGCAAAACCTCTTTCCAAACTTTGTTCTGCCAGATGCAGCCTCCCCTAGCATTGGATTCCAGCTTTGGTTTTCTTCACAGCAATTTCTGGCTTTTGAAAATCTCCTTACTCGACAATTTGTGCTTGTGGGGAAAAATATAGAAACCACACAATATTTTTTCCCTTTGTGCTTTTTTTACATGTCAGCCCTGTTTTTATCTATATCCATATACTTTGAAACGTGGCTAACCCTATAATTATTGAAAGAACAAATAGAGTCATATCACACAATCCAGCATAGCACATTAGTTGTTGATTTTTTTGGCATCAGAAATGAAGAATAAAAACCACTAACTTGGTAAAAAAAAATTAGCTAAGTAAACATTAACCAAATAAATATTTGAACCAAAGACAATGATGTTGGTTTAGTAGTAAGAGCAGACACATTATTGTGTAAATAGACACACATCTCTGTGCTGAGTGTTGTTCTATCACTTATGGGATTCTCTTGCTAATCTCTTAACTGAATGCTACTGGTGATTTTATCTTACCTCAACACTGTCACTTTCAAACTTAGAAACAAACATTGAAAGTGAGAATAGATTTTTTATGTTAGAACCATGTAGGAGAAGCTACACCTGAAAAATATCAGCAGGGTGTTATTGAAATATACAGACTTTAATGAAAGCTTAGGTAAAACTCAGCAGATCTCTGGGGACATTTCCAGGAATTAGTGATTCTTTTCTGGAGGAGACTCCAAAGTCAGATCCAGTCACCTAACTTAAGTGGTTTTTCAACTAATTATGCACTGGTGTCATGCTCATGCTAATGTTCAGCCTTATGCAAAATGCAGAATGCCAGTCTTGCTCACAGTGCAGTGAGCAAAGCTTGCTTTGATTTGAATGAATTCTGGGTCTGACTTTGGTATTTAAACAGTTATTTTGAGGTTCGGTTTCTGTTCTTACTGAAATCAATGGAAATTCTCTCACTGACATTAGATTCAAGAAGCAGAGAGTTTTAGGTTAGACTGGACTAAGAGAAACTGCATGAGGATTTAAGAAAGAATTATTCTAATTAGACTTGAGTGAGTAAACTTACATAATGCATTATAACAGATCCCTAAGCAGAGCAACTTGAGCTAGTAAGATATTTAGAGGATTCATATTTCTCAGCTGTATTTTGCAAACAACACATAACAAAGATCACACGTAAGGAGAACAGGAAAGTAACTCTACAGAAGTGCCCTGCTCAGAGATTTCTTTCTATAGTCTGGTCCTTTACACTTAATGCAAGTAATGTCCAATAGCTGTCACTACACCATTCTTTTGCCTTGACCACTAAGCCCTGAGCTGGAGAGGCAAACCAATGTGGTATTTGCTGCCCAAAACCCCAGATGAGTGAACTAAGTGGTAGAAAGAGCAGTAGAAACCAAGTGCCTGGATTTTCAGTGTCCAGACTGCACAGGGCCCTCAGGGACATCCTCCCACCCTTCTTTTCACCTGTCCCTTCTGTTCAAGAGTCCCAACCAAGTGTCTCCTCTGCATTTTCTAGGAAAATACTGTCTGAGGATGGAGGAGTCTCCCTCAGATTCTGCTCTTCATCATAAACAGAAATAATTTTGTGTATTTTTCACAGCACAGTTGCCTTTGTTTTCCCATATGGTCTCTTAAGCCAGAACCTTTTCTTCTGAAACTTCTCCAAGAACCGTGGGGTTGAAAGATGCCTTTCTGAAAGGGAACTGCAAAGATGCAGCTTGTGCTGCTTCGAGAGTCTGTCTGCACAGCTGGGGCTCAGAGTCACGTCCCTGGAGCAGGAGGCTACTTGTGAGGTTGTCCCTAGCCAGGGCAGGTGCTGGAATCTCCCAGGGACTATTCCCAACTCGAAAATCACCTCTAAGCCCTTCCTGCAGCTAAACTCTGCTCGATGCTCTCCGTGCGCCACACTCGGGACAGGAACGAGTTGCGGTGGCAAAGGGGATGCTCGACTGCCTCAGCCCAGCACCTCCCTGGACCGCCAGCCCTTCTGGCATCCTTGCACGGTGCTCACTCGGAAAAGGCTTAAGCGGTTCTGTCCCCGCTCCCTATCCCACAGCTCGGGGGAGCAACCCGGGGCTCCGGGGCTCTCCTCGCCCGTCCCTGTCCCGGCGAGTGGCGGTGGAGCTGCGGAGCGCCCGGCACTACACCGGGAGCGCGGCGGGGAAACCCTGCCCGGGACAGCCGGGCACCGAGGCTGAGGGAAACAAACCCTGCCCGGGACAGCCGGGCACCGAGGCTGAGGGATATAAATCCTGCCCGGGACAGCCGGGCACCGAGGCTGAGGGAAACAAACCCTGCCCGGGACAGCCGGGCACCGAGGCTGAGGGATATAAACCCTGCCCGGGACAGCCGGGCACCGAGGCTGAGGGAAACAAACCCTGCCCGGGACAGCCGGGCACCGAGGCTGAAGGAAACAAACCCTGCCCGGGCCGGGCGGGCACCGAGGGTGACCCTGGCAGGGAGCGGCGAGCGGGGAGCTCCGGCCGCCAGGTGCCTCTGCCCGGGCCGGGGCACCCCGGGATCCCCGTCCCGGCTCCGGCCCTACCGACACCCGCCGTGCGACTTCTCCTGTCCTCTCGCCCCCTCCTCGCCGCTTCTTTGCACCCTCTTCGCACTGCCCTTGCGTTTTCCTGCATCCTGCTCCCCGGTCCGCTGCGCTCTCCTCGCGCACTTCTTGCACACTCCTGGCTGTCCCTCTGCACTCTCCATAAAGTCAGTCTGGTTGCATTCCAACTCCTCGCACCCTCCTGCCCGCTCCTGCCCCTCCGCTGTGCCCGGATGGGTGAGGGAGGTGACGGGGAGCCTCATGAGAGTACGACCCCGACTCCGCCACCCGCTCGCCCTCCCGTCCTCTCGCCGCGGGACGGCACCGGCCGCCGGTGGCACCTACCTACGAGCAGCCCTGCGAGCCACCAGCACCGGACCATGGTGCCCGCTGTGTGTCCCGGCCAGAGGCGCGATCGCCGCCGGTGCCCGCGGAGCTCAGCGGGGCGCGGCGCCCGGCGGTGCAGCCATGGGCCGCCTCCGGCGCTCCGGTGCCCGCGGCGGCGGCAGCACCCCGGCTTCAGCCCGCAGGCGTCCTGCTGAGCCCGAGCCTTGCGAAGGGATAAAGCGGGCGGCGAAAAAAGAAAAGTATATATTTTAAAATAAAGCACCGCAGCCCACCCCGCCTTCGCCGCGGAGCGCGTCCCCCCGGCTGCTGATGGCTTTAATGGAGCTTGGCAGCCACAGGTTCCCGCTGCCAGAAGAGGTGGAGACTCCGCCGCCTGCGCCCCACATGCGGCCGCGCACCGCACACGCGGGGGAGGAGGAGGAGGAGAAGGAGGAGGAGAAGGAGAAGGGCAGCCCCGGCCCGGCACCACAGATCGAGGTGGGCGCCCGCCTGGGGACTGGCGCTTCTCCCTCAGGGACCGGCCCCACCTCACCCATCCTGCGGCCGTGGGGCTGCCCTGGAGCCCAGGCCTTGGAGGCCGTTGGGGGCGCGGGCCAGGTCTGCGCTGTGGGACACCATGAGGGGATCATCTCGTCATCCCCACGCCATGAGGGGATGGTCCCTCTATCCCCATGCATGAGGGGATCATCTCGTCATCCCCACGCCATGAGGGGATCGTCCCTCTATCCCCACGCCATGAGGGGATTGTCTCGTCATCCCCACTCCATGAGGGGATCATCTTGTCATCCCCACGCCATGGGGGGATCGTCCCTCTATCCCCACGCCATGAGGAGATCATCTCGTCATCCCCATTCCATGAGGGGATCATTCCTCCATCCCCAAGCCATGAGAGGATTATCTCGTCAGCCCCAGGCCATGAGGGAATCATCCCCATACCATGAGGGGATTATCCCCATGCCCCACACCACGAGGGGATCGTCCATGTGGGGATTGTCCCCACATCCCCGCAGCCTGGTCCTCCTGCCCACTGTGTCCCTGGCACCCTCAGACCCTTCATTATCACCAGGGCCATCAAAAGAATGGGGTAAATCCCCTTAAAACCCTCTCAACACTCTACACATAGGAAATACGGGACCCTTTGAAGGCAAGTCAGAATGCCCACCTCAGGTGGTACTTGCCTATGCCAACCATTCCCTCTCCACTCCCCAAACCAGGTCTGTGGGACAGAGTTGCAACTGACGAAGGACTCAGAATCAGCTCTTGTCATGAAGCAAAGCACAAATCTGAACATAGATGTGTCTGGGACAGAACAACACTTTTCTTTGTCTTGGTGAGTATCGACAAACCATTTTATTCTCTCCCTTTGAGCACATAAAACAACGCGTGTGTGAGGGCTCAGCTGCCTTTGGAAGCAGTGAGGGAAGAGGCTGAGCTGCCATGGCTCTGCCAGGTCAACACTTACGGTGCTGGCACTAAAGGCTGAAGTTTAATGCATTTTTCCAGACTGAAAAACTAGTTTCAGTTTTTGCAAATGAGGCAAAGGAATCAAAACACATGTATGCCCCCGGCAGAACCCCAGGACCCTGCACACTCACTTTTCCTGGTGAAACTGGCTGTTTCACCAAATAAAAGGAAACTTTAGGGGAAAATAAGGAAGCTTGTCTCCAAGTTCACAGCAGTATTCCTGCTGATTGCAGTGGGGAGAAGTTGAGGCCTGATTCCACAGTCCCATATTTGCTAAGCAGGACCTTCAGCATGCTGGGGTGAGGTCTCACTGCAATGGGTTTAATGACTTTGTCAAAAATAATGCATAACATCTTTAATGAGAAAGTGGGACAAACTTATCTATCATGGGTGCATAAAGAATTAAAGTTTAATGATACTTGCCAAGATAAAAAATAACAAAGTCCATTTGTAATGCAGGCACTCCTTTTTCTAGCTGATGTTTTTATCTCTTTTTGTTTCTCAAATTCCCCAAACCAGTCATTCTCGGTAAATGTCCAAACCACTGTGGTTTTATTATATTTACAAATACATAAATTCTCAAATGCATAGGCAAAAAAAAGTTGTCCTTTATAATGATAATAGAGAGAAAGAAATAGTTTTGCAAGAATTTTCCTTATAAACCAGTGCTTACTGTTTTCAGGCATAGCTAACTTAAATGGGAAAAATAATGGAACAGGTAATCTTTTACCACTATCAAACTTTTATTTTGGCTGCACACCTCTAATATGACACTTCCAGCCTCTAACACTAATCTCCTTGATTTCTTTCAGAGTATTTTAAAAGCATTTTTTGGAGGGGAAGGAATAAAACCAAAGCAGAGTAATTTTCATGCAGGTGTCTGAAAATTTTAATTATCATATGTAAACCATCACAAGCTTTTATCACATGGACATAGCGATAGATTTCATTCATCTGGCCTCTTTCATCCCTGCGGATCCCAAGGGACCTTATCAAAGTAACTGAGCCATGGGCCGTCTCTTTTTTAGGGGGGGAAGAATTCCTCCCGCCACCCGAGCGCGGCGATGCAGCTGTTCGGCCGCGCACTGCCCCGGGAGGATGAGAAGAGTGCCACAGCCTGTTAGAAATACCAGGAGGATTTAGACAGGCAATGGAGTCTTCCAACCTGGAAGTCTGCCAGGACATCAGGCTTGCATTCTCAGCTCGTGTAAAAATGGCTGGGTAATCTTCAGCTCCTGCAGAGGACCAGCAATGTAAAAATGCCTATAATTTTTATTATCAAATAATTACAGGCTACCTGCTGGGCAAAGCACGTGGAGGGAGACAAATGAGTGCAAATAGCCTGTAATTCCAGCAGAACTATGTGGCCTGATTTATGCATTCAAAGAGAATAAAAGCTGTTCCTATTCTGATTCAGGGGCACTCGCAGTGCTGTAAATACTAACACAGCTGCAGGGTAACTGGGAACCAGACCAAGGTGTTTTTACATTAGCTATGCTTCACTTGCCTGGCACCTTGTGTAATATTCATTCCTGTGCAAAACAGGTACAGAATATTTGAACTCAGGATCATGCACTCTTGTTAGCTATACAGGGCATTGAGCTGTCCAGTTCCCAAAGGCCAAATATTTTCTCTTCCCCTTGCCAGAACAGCAAGGATAGGCAGCCACACGTAAAGGCAGAAGGGTCAGGAAACCAAAGATTGATCAGCCAACATATCTGAAAATACTGTTGTCTGAAAAGAGGGATCCTCTGAGTAGAGACTCGGGTCCCCAGGTAGCCCTATCCATAATCCATAGCAATGCTGCTTCTGGAGCCTTCTCTTTAAGAAGGAATACCAGGGGATGTGCTGGGTGACCTGTAAGTGCTGTTCTGTTTCAGTTTCAGGTGTGTATATTATGGGAGGGGGGAAATTGAATAATATATCCCTCTTTTGGGGCACTTGTGGGAGAAGAGCTAGGTGTCCCTCATGGAACTTCATTGAATGTCATTGGGAAACTCTGGAGGGAGCTATATACATTTAACACTCTTAGGCTCACCAACAGATGGACCATGATGCACAGTTGAAGAATGGAGACTAAAACAAAAAGTTATTTTAAAAAGTATAAAAATAAACAAACCTGGAAAAAAATCTTGAATTTCCCAGAGAAAAAAAAATAACGTGGGAATACTATTCCTTTCACTTCTAAGTAAAAAATAGTTAATATGTACAGAGGATTCTTCATGAAAAATGCTATGTGCAGAGTCTTTATTAATTAACTCAAAACATTTAGAGGAAGATAGCAGCATCTTCCCCACAGGGACACTAGAGCCATGGAGGATATGTCTTGCTCAGACATGTGAAAGGTACCATCAGGGCCTGTCTGAGGGCCTTTCCCAGATGGAATGGGCAGAAATAAGTAGAAATGAGTACCCTGTTTATCTCAACTCAGCACAGCATAACATTGTTCTCCTTGATCAACCATCATTTCTTACTGATTTTGAGCAGGTAATTCCCTCTCACTTTTCCATGATTGGCAGCAACATGTTGGACTTGGCTATTTGAGGTTTGGTGAATAAAGACAGTGTTTTGGTTGTCTTTACCAGCCACCTGAGATGAGCAGTGAAGGAAGTAGCACCTTCCTTTAGCCTGTTAGTTTGCACTATTCACTAAGAAATAGCATTTAAAAAAAAATATTGCAGAGTCATGCAATGCATCCTCAGTGCATTTTACAGAGCAACAATAGGAAAATGTGAATAAACCTTGTGGAGCACCTGGCTCAGTGTATGTATTTATATATTAAAAAGCACTGGAGTATTATTTACATGCTTAGCTGGAGTTTGTCCTTTCTAGAGAAGTCTGGGCTGCTACCTGTTATACTTGGCTCACGATGATTTAAATAAGAATTTATAGACCCTAAACCATCTGCAAAATGTCCCAGCTCTTCAAGGCCAATGTAAATGCAATGAGGGGGGAAAACCACAGAAAGAAAAGGTTAACAAGGTTTCTCCTTGCCTCCCCCTTGGCACATTTTATAATTAACTTTATAATGTCTGAGAGCAAAAGGTTGAAACAGATAAAGTTCCCACATCCTTGGAGATAATTGCAACAGTTTGTGCAGCACATGACAGCAGCAGCAGCTCTGTTTGGTGTCCCTGCACTACACGTTGCTGAGAGTGTGTGCACTGCAGGGTACTCTGCAGCCTGGCTTCACATCTCCACATGAAAGCAGCTTGCTGTGATTTATATCATCATGCTAATCAGGAATTCGCATTAATTCAAGGTCCCTTTTGGGGCCTTAGGAAGAAGGAAGAATCAAAAATGAGCCAGATTTCTATTTTGTGCAAGGTGCCACTGTTTTCCAAAGTGTGAAGGAATTAAATGTGTCATTAGTGTTTGCAGACACGTTAAAAGGCAGCTAGAGGAGAGAGCTCACTGTGCGCTGCAGTGAGAGCCATGAGCAAGGAACCTTCTTCTGCCCCCTGACTCTATCAGCAGTAAGGAAATTTAAAATTTAAATAAATCTTGAAATTCTAGCCCACGTTTTCTTATGAATGACAGATCCTTCCTGCCCTCAGTCCACCACATTTCTCCAAGCCTGAAAACTGAGGCTTCCTTCTTAACAGCAAGAGGTAGGAAAGACGTTTGTGGTCTGGTGGTTACACCATGGGGTTGGAAAGCAGGAGAAGTGGTGTTTCAAATCTGGGCCAAGATTCTTGTTCACCATGGACTGGATCCTGCCAGATACTGAGCACCCACTGATTATCCAAGGCCAGGCCCTCACACAATTCATGTGAGTCCAAGTTCTTTTTCCAAAGTAAAAACTGGCCTGTATTCAAAAAAATTGGTGCTGATTCTGTGGTTATGCTGCTTCCCTCGCAACCCCAGCAGTCCAGCATTAATTTCCATTTTCCCTTCTAGTGGCATGAGGGCTGGGACAGTTA